AATGTGAGTTCCAACATATCCCAAAAATAAATCTTCCTAAAAAATTTTTGTCTTTCCCTTACTTTTAAGGAATTTTTCCTTTTATCACAGAACTTCATCTTCTTCAGCTATCATAATTATTTTCCTTTACAACTTTATCCATACTTGGCAAGAGGAGGGAGAGAATTAGGTTCTCTCATTTACTATGTGGAAGGATTATTCTGAAAATGAAAAGGAAAAGAAAATAAATTGATACCTATAGGTTCTTTGTCTTCTTCGTTTAGAAAACCCTAGTGTGGGTGACCCTTTTGTTCAAAGTACTTAGACGAAATTTATGGATCTAGCATGTAACGTCCTAGACTTAGGTCTCGAACAAGGATTTGGAATCCAAATATGGTACTAGTGGCCCTCTTTCCCTTGTAACTTGATTGCACTATCTTTTTTACTTAGGCTACTTTCAAGAGTGAAAACTTTCTCTACAGATCAACACTAATTGAGCCACAATCGAAAAGGAAAATGCGCCATGATAGCAGAATTAGTTACTATCAATTCTTTTAAGCTTTTCTTAACCAAGTTTGCATAATCTCAAGATCCCTCTCATTTAGATATGTTGTCGATTCATTCATGTACCTCTCCTTTCTACTCGATTATCACATGCCCACCAACTTTTGCTTGGTTCGCCTTCAAATCACATTGTACTAGAAGAAGTTTCGCATTAAATTTGAACCATGAAACTAAAATTTAACCTTTATCGGATGAAATCGACATCAATTTACTTCATTCCATTAATATAAAAAATAAAAATAAATAACTTTGCAGTAAATATTGGTTCTCAATCACATTCAAACCTATAAACATTTATAAGGTTAAGGAATTAAAAGAAAAAAAAAAAAGCACATTTTCCCACATGATCCTTTGGAAGGTTGCTATTGGAATGTAATAGCATGAAAGCCCACAAGCAATGTACACATAATACACCTTCTCATGCCTTTGACAATAATTGGCAATCAATTAGGTCAATATCCCCACCCACCACTCCCCACATCAATTAATGGAAGCCCACTATGAACTCAAAGGCATGTTTTTGGCCACTCACATTATTGGCAATTATTTGTATCATATATATCAAAATCTGCTATCCTCTCCTCATCTATATCTACTATTATGTTTTAGTTCACGAATTTATATTGCACGTGTAATTTAGATTTTGAACAAAACAATGAATTTGAGGAGTTGATGTGGAGTGTGGAGATTCAAACTCATGACCTTTTCGTTAAGTATAGATGACTTAATCCCTTTAATTGTGCTCGAGTTGTCATTGAGATGATATAATTTATGATTAGAAACCAAATTTAGGATAGGTAAACCAGAATCAAACCCAATTACATAATTTCGATTGATTTTCTCAACATTACCCTACACCTTATATAATATTATTGTAAAAGAAATTTATGTTTTATGCATTCAGAAATTATTTTCTATATCGTTATATATTGATTTGAAATTTTCATTTTATATGATTCCTAAAGTTTCAGAAATGACACTTTAGTCCTTGAGATTTTGAAAAATAGCTGATGACATGGCAATTAAGTGGTTGATTATACTTAGTCAATTTGGTAAAATATATTAATTTATTATTATTTCTCGACCGGTCCTACCTACTAATGCTAATAAGGTTGAAAGAAGAAAGGATGTGTCGAACAAGCAGGGCGATGACTAGACTATAATGTGATCTTCCTCTCTCCTTCCCTCCCTCATTCTCCCCTTCCTCTAGCAAATATCACCATCACCTTTATCACTACTCGTTCTAGATCTAGAACAAGAACGAACGAACTCCTTCATTACAGATCGGGCTGTTCTAGACTTAGAACTCATACGCTACTTGTTCTAGTTCTTCTTTTAGAACATCGTGAAAGAAACGAAGGTAGTACCGGAACATTCGACTTTTTTTACATTTCACCGTTGTTACAAAGAGGGCACAAAAGAATGATTCAAACTTTAGAATGAAGACATTGTTCCTTAATCTTTGTAATTGAGGAGATTTGAAGGGAGGTGGCAGGTGGCAAGGCTGCTGGAGAGAAAGGAAAGAGGAAAGGACTACCTCATAATGCAATCAACAAAATTGATATTAAATTAATATATTTTGTCCAGTAATTAGCACTACAATCATTATTATTTTTTTTAATTACTGGATACGGAAGGACTCGAACCTAGATCTTGGGTGCATACAATCATTAATTTAATCGCCCTTTTATCTTTTTCGCTAGTCAATCAAATGAGTTAAGTACAATTAGTAAACATTCAAACTTCCGTACATTTTTAAACCTCTAAATAAATAGTTTGGATTAAGACTGAATTTTCCTTTCGAATTTATTTAATATACATTATTAAAATTTATTGTGTGGGTTGCATTAAACATTCTTTTTTTTTTTTTGTTATGAAAACATTTTGAAGACCATTTTATAATTCCATACAAATATTTTAAATCTATTTCCAATCCAATATTAGTTGGAAAGATAATGTTAAATTATAGATTTGTCACAGTTGTATCTAGGGTTGATCACCGGTCGGTCGAGGTCGGTTTTTGGCCGATCCCGCTGTCAAAAATCAACACTATCGGTTTCCAAATCTGGAAACCAATGATTTTATTTGTTTTAGTGTGCATCGATCGAGTCGGTCGGTCGGTCTATTTGTCAGTTAAATCGACAGTGATTTTTTTTTTCAAATGCGTTTTTAATTAATTTTTCGGTTCCTTATTATTTTTTCTATTCAAATTCCTTGTATATAGGATATACTGTATAGTGCTTTTCAATTTTCATTACAATTTTCATTCAAATTTTTTTCTGTACATTGTTTTTCATTATTTACAAGACATTTTAAACTAATAAATAATAATTATTAAGTTGAAAAGTAATGGTGTAAAGTGTAAAGGTAAACAAAAAAAAAAAACCCTAACTATTTAATATAATTATAAAATATTAAAATGTAATTTTTTAATTATAATGTAACCGAATCGCCTATCCCAAAACCAACCGACTGTTATATTTTCGGTCGATTTCAATCAACCAGTTCGACTTTTCAAGTCCATATGCTCATCCCTAGTTGTGCCTATTTTTTATTTAAACTTTTAATTGTGATTTTATATAGTCCATATGTGATCCTATAATTAACTCAATAATAATATCTCTATTAGCAAAGAAATGGTAAGATAAAGTAAACATGTGGATAAAATATTTTTTTTCCGGAAAGTGGGTAAATAAATTGGCACATGAATATATCTTTTTTTCCCCTTAAATTTTTAACAATAACATGCCCATTTTCTAAACCATATGACACTTGTTTTCATAGATGGTGCAACTCTATATTTTTGTCTCATTTCAATAAAAGGAAAAAAATATTTTTCCTTTAACTATCACCTTTATCTTACCATTTATCGATTTGTGAATTGAATCAATCGATATTTATCTAAGAAACATATAATATGATCATGAAAAATTATAAATTTGCTAAAAATATATATTTTATTTTGTCATTTATGTAATGGTCTTTAAAATCATTTATTTGATGTTGTTAACTGTAATAGTTATATTAGAATTTAAAATTAAAGTTTAAGAAAGATATTTTTTAAAGTTTAGGGACTATATAAACACAACCATCGATGTTCGTGTGCTCCTGTTATCTACATAGTGTTCTATATGTAGTTGATATTCCCTTTATACATTGTCTTTCTATACAATGCAACATGCTCAGTGTTATGGTTAATTTTGATCTGACCTAAGAATCGATATGGATCGGGTAAGGTCGAGCTTTCGAAGTGAGCTTAATGAGAGAAGACTTGCACAAGAAAAACAGACACTCTAACGCTGAAGTCAATAAGAGACCGATTTTAGGTCTCAAGTAGAGGAATTAGAGTGCGTACCTAAAGTCCGAGTATCGCTTCTATTTATAAAGTGGCAGGTGGTATAGCCTATATAACCATTCTGCTAGGTCGTTGGCGAATTAGTTAGATGGATTCCCTAGGTCGAATTGTTTATCTCAGCACATGGCGCTTCCTTCAACCAACAAGAATAGATCGAGCTATCAGGTTGGTCAAGCTTTAAAGGTCGACCACATTGTATTTTCAAGATTATGGGAAAAGATCTTGCATACCGATCTTTCCTAGTTCCCCACATGGCAAGTCATATTTTATCCTCGAACAATTGGTTTCCAACCGTTTTGAGTTAGAATTAAAAGATCCTAAACATGTTCACAAAATTGTAAGGATTTTTAACAGTTTATGTTATTTTCATAGTTCTAACTTGTTTAGTAAAAAAAAGTCGGATTTGTTAATTTTGAATTTTTGTGACCATGACCAACACGTTTAAACTAGCCTAAAATTTATTTTGAAGGTATGAAAATTGATTTTATGATTCATTTTACATAGGGTTTAAAATTGTGGGAAGTGTGATATATGTTTTCTCTAGTTCTTTTTTGTAAATTTGCAAAATCAATAAATTATTTTTATAAATATTATAGTAGAAAAATCAGAGGTTAATATGGAGATTAAAAATTACTTTTCATACATTTAAATATTAATAATTATTATGAACTAGATTAATTATTATGGGATTTATACTAGTAGAATAATAAACATATCTAATTATGACTAGAAGACTTAAGACTTATTGGAAAAAGATTATTTTATGTAATTGAGGCTAATCATATTTGCCATTAGGTTTTTAGTCTATGCCACATCATCGATCTGTAGGGTTTTTAATAGGAGATTATCACCAGGACCAAAATGAATCATTTTTAAAAGTATAGAGTCCAAAAAAAAGTATTTTAACCGAAAAATAATTATTTTAAAGAAAACAATATAAAAATAAAATTCCACGTTGAATTTGATGGAAGTACAATAATTTGAGAGAGAAACAAATTAATTAATAATAATTTGGTTTTGGTGATTTTTGAAAATGAATTAATAAAAGTGAGAAGGAACAGCTCAGAAACAAGAAACTTTCTTCATTTATAACCGATCCACATCGACATCTCTGTCTCCCGACCCATCAGAAAAATGGGAAACCAAAAAAAAAAAAAAACTTCCATTATTAACTAATCTCGCCTTCTAAACAATCCCCTCGCCCTATTTCTCTAATCTCAACCACTAAAATTCCTCTCTCTGATCAACCGGTTTCAATTCTTTCCTTCATCTGATTCATCGATTCAATTTCACTCTTCGAATTTTGTCCATCTCCCTTTTGTTTTGTGTTTTTTCGCCCCAATTCGGCGATGTTAATGGCGGAAGGCGCTTCCCCATCAAAACCCAATACTTCGATTTCTTTCCATTGTTAATTGTTTCGAGTGGGAGAGGTTTTTATTGTTGTGCGAAAATGGAGTTGGATGGCATCGAAGGCGTGCCATCCATGGACGTGATGGACGAGGAGGATACGACCCTTCAACGTCACTGTCAGTTTCCTTCGATTTCGAAGCCTCGCATCAACAATAACGACAATCCCACCACCACAAGTGTCCACGAGCTTCTTGAATGTCCCGTCTGCACCAATTCTATGTATCCCCCAATTCATCAGGTTTCCTTTTGCTTCTTTGCCCGTTTTTTGTGGTTTCTGATCTGTTTCGTTGTTCTGAAATTGCGGGCCTGTTGTTGGAGGTTATTTGGGATTTTGAATTAAGTAGATGATTGTTTAACAGGAATCTTCTGTTCAATGTGGCCTTTGGTTGGTCGATCGATCGATCGATTCTTTTGAAGTTTTTCTTTGAACTTTATGCATTCGTTTTTTTTTTCCTTTCTGCTCATTACCAAATTAGAAAACCTTTTTTGTACATTAGAAACAAGTGTTGTTATATTTTTTTGTGCTTTAGTTGACTTTGTTCAGAAGCTGGAATCGTGTTTCAATGGTGTCCCCTTCTGGGGTTAGTTTCATTAATACAAGGAGGTACGCTTAAATCAATGTCGCCAACCAGGCAAAGTGGGAAGCCACTGTATGACCTCTGGAGCGGCTAGCTTAGCCGTGGGATCGGGACAGAAGGGGGATGGTGATGTTTGAAAGGAATTTTCTTCGTTTTCGCCTTCCTTGTTTCAAAAAGGGTCCAATGGTACTTGCAAGACTGAAGTGGCTAAGTATATTATTTTGGCTTGATGTTGAAATCATCTGTTTGCTCTTGGGATTTTGACAGTTGTCGTGCTGGCGGAGCAGGGAGCCTACAGGGAAGATTGGGGCAATGAGGAGCTCGACGAGTATGTGCAAACCCTGTGCCTCATCGTTGACAGATATTGTTGAACGGCTTAAGCTTTCTCTTTTGCTCTCTATCTCACATTAGATTATATATCATGAAAGGTTTTAACTAAGAATGTGGGATCATTTTATACTAAACCAATGCTAAGAGCATTTCTTATGCCTATGACATAAGGCCCCTTTAAGTGTGTTAAAAGGCTTTAAAGAGGCGGTTAGGATAGGGCCGATAGGCATCCACGTCATAAATGTGATAGAGGAGAGGGACCACCCGTAGGTTTCACGTACACACGGAAGAAAAAGGGGAAGGAGGCTGCAGAAAATAGTTTCGTGGAGTGCGTTTTGTTGTGGGCCCAAATTTTGTAATAGGTCAATACGGTAGTAGGACGTGCTGGGGAGGAGTTAGTAGAGGTTTATGCAGGGTAGGTTTTTCATTATTCTGTTATGTTGTTTTTGGCTTAGACTTGTTCTAAGAGGGAGAGAACCTGGCCTCTTTAAGTGCTATGAAGACTTGTTCTCTGTTTTTCTGCTTGTTTTCTTAATGAAATATTGAGATAAAGTCATCTGAGACTTATCAAAATGCTCCTTAGAAGATTATTAGCATACATTGAAGAATGACAGATGGTTTTTTGTCTTTCTAGAAGGCATCATAAAGTTGTGTATTTGATTTTAATCTTCTGTGGGAGCTCTAGCCTTTGTCGACAATGGCAGGAAGCAATAACATTACATTTGCTATTGATTCAAGTTAGTATAGACAACAGGTATTTTCTTTGCTTCTGATGGGGGAGCAATATTGAGAATCGGGAACCGACCATTTTGCAATATGATGTTGGTTTATGCAAAAGTTAGTTCAGTTCTTCATGTTATCTGCTGCTTGGGAGTTGTCCACATTGTTTGAAGGCTCCCCTCTTGGCTTATGGCCTGAATTTTTTGTTTATATCTTGGATTGTATACTATCAAATATTTTCGACAATTAGGAGGACCATTCTATATAATTTTTTGTTCACACCTTAAGATCTATGGATTCATCAAAATGATGAGAAGCCTAATTCGTCAATCCTGTGAATCTGTAGTGTTAAAGATATCGAGTCTCTTGAATGTCAGGTAATGGCTATCCAGTTTGTGATAGTTGAGAAGATATTGCTGAATTGTTTAAACTTTTTGTTTTGTTTGTGCAGTGTCCCAATGGGCATACCCTCTGTTCTACATGTAAAACAAGGGTCGACAACCGTTGCCCGACGTGCAGACAAGAGCTTGGTGATATCAGATGTCTAGCATTGGAAAAGATAGCTGAATCACTTAAACTGGCTTGTAAATTCTGCACGTATGGGTGCCCGGAGATATTGCCGTACTACAGTAAACTCAAACACGAAGCTGCGTGTTACTTTAGACCATATACCTGCCCTTATGCTGGATCAGACTGCCCAGTCGATGGGGATATTCCGTTCCTTGTTTCTCATCTTAGGGATGATCACAAAGTCGACATGCATTCTGGATGCACATTTAATCATCGTTACGTAAAGGCTAATCCATGCGAAGTTGAAAACGCTACATGGATGCTAACCGTAAGTATCATGTTCATTCAGTTCAGTTGTTTGCAAGTATCTGTTCAAACTGTTGCACGAGACAGTATTCAAAATCGCTCTTTCCTTATTGCTAGCTCTTATTTTATGTTCTTGGCTCAGGTCTTCCACTGTTTTGGCCAGTATTTCTGTCTTCATTTTGAAGCCTTTCAGCTGGGCATGGCACCGGTTTACATGGCATTTCTCCGATTCATGGGCGACGAAACGGACGCCCGGAACTACAGTTACAGCCTTGAGGTCGGTGGAAATGGCAGGAAGCTCATATGGGAGGGCAACCCTCGGAGCATTCGGGACAACCACAAGAAAGTGAGAGACAGCCACGACGGGCTCATTATACAGCGAAACATGGCGCTCTTCTTTTCGGGGGGAGAAAAGAAAGAGCTGAAGCTGCGGATCACGGGACGGATTTGGAAAGAACAAAATAAACAGTAATATTGTGTTAGATTCAAACTCTTATGTATGTGATTATTATGCATAACATTTACTTCAACTTTATCAAGCCGAGATCATATCTTGAATCAGCTCCCAAGTCCTTTTCAAAGCTAAACTTCTTGTAATTCGGTTTAGCTTTTACAATGTCAATCGTTCAGCTCGTTCTGAAGCTGTTTTCATCCTAATTTATTTGCTTTTTCCGATTAAAAAGGTTTAGCCAAAACATATTTTCAGAGCTATTTTATAGAGGTTTTTTTTTTCTTTTTTGTTCTCAAAACTACTATCATGTTATTTTAGAATAAATGAGTTTTTTCTTCCTAGAATCATGAATTTTTCAATAAATTTCAATGCGTAGAATAATATAAACTTTTCAGAGTCGTTGTCTAAATATTCAAGTATTTTTATAGATACCTCTACATCCTATGCTAAAATGTTCAATGAGGCATCTAAGCAATCTTGGATGTCCAACTACCACATAGATTTTTAAGATTCTTTCCATGTTGAGGCTCGACATCTTCTGGTCCTTCATTTTTACTCTATATTTTTTTAGCAATTTTCTTTATTTTTTAATTCTGATTTTAAAAAATAAATAAATTAATGCACTGATTCATTGATAAATGATTAGGTAGAATTATATATATGCTACGATATAAAATAAACTTTAATCAACGATATAATATCATAATTTATTTCCTATTGATTTTAGTATACAACCTTTCATTTATTTTACTGATCTTTCAATAGTCACCTAACATAACTAAATTCGAACAAAAAAAATATTATTAAATTAATAAAAATAAAATTATTATATTAAATTATATTTACAAAATACATTTTAACATAGGTAAGGGTTGTTGAGGGAGGGGTTTTGAATTTTGAAATTTCAAATTTGAAATAATAAACTAAAAATTTGAATTTGAAAATCAATCTTACAAAACTTCTCACATGTGTGACATTCATCCTATTCCAATCTTGAATATGGGTTTTACATAAAATTGATTTATTAATCGAAGAACTTAGTCGACGAATTTTAATTATCCTAATTTAATTAATTTAAACTAAGATCGAAATCAACACTTATTAATGAATCAATTGGGTATTATAACGTTCCATATCAAACAAATAATAGCATTAAGAACCATGTGAATTAATAAACCAAAATTAATTAATTTGAGATAACTGCAAGTTTATTAATTTTGTCTCTTTATTTACCTAGAGTCTATCATGCAAGCTATATAACATGGAAAGCCATAAATATACACACACAAACCAACTATTTGCTACTTGATTCAATCATTCATGACAATTATGGATTACAAACTCATGGATAATAGTAGAACAATCAATATGAATTAAGACGTCAATTTAATTAATATCAATTGTTCATATACAACAAAAACAAGAAACAAAGAATACTTGAACAAAAAAAAAAATATCACATCTAACACGAGTCTCTCAAGCTTACAACTGGACTTGAATCACCTTTGAATTGGAATAATTAAAGTCTAGCCATTGGTGGATCCAAGAATTTTGTTGGGGGCTTCGTACTAATGTCTTTTTTTATTTTTTTTATTTTTTACGAGGCGCAATACCAGCACATCTGTGCCGCCCGACACTATCCTTGAGATTCCCATTCTCGAAGCAAGACGCCCAAGACCTTGGTCTTGTAACGTTTGATTTCATACTTATTTACGTTAAGTAATTCAAAGAATTCATAAAAGTAATTTTAAAGCTAGCAAGATCCTTTAGGTAAATATGCTCTATGAACTTAGTCTCGAATATAACAATTGTAATCAACAATTCTAGCTCTTAGACTAGGATATGCGGGTATTTTTTACAAATTTACTTATATAAAATATCTATCACTATTTATATTCCAAATTAAATCTACAAGAACATTAATAAAAAATGAAAACATAAAGTAATATTGTGCTTTTAAATTGTTCTTTTTTAATATCTTTTATCTATCGTAAAATATTAAATCATATTTAAATTCAAATATTTAAACATAATAATTTAATAAAATATAAAATAAAGGTATAAATTATGATTGTATTTTACAATCTTATCAAACATATAAATTATACTAGGACGAGTAAAAGCATGTTTCTATGTACCGATCATGCAAAACAAACATAATTATTCAAATATTCTCAAATATTCTTATAAATATTCCTATGAAACAAAGTAAATAATAATTTGATCGGTTGGCATGCTCATGTGGGCATATACATTCTAATTCTTATTCAATTTCAACTGCCAGTCTTGAAGAAAGAGATTAAAGCATAGACTAAAAAATTAATCACAAGATGCAATAACACAACCCCATCGGAGAAATTGCAGAAACAAAAAATCCATCAAATATTTATTTAATTTGGATACAAATTCCAAAGGAAAAATACCTTCGGCAGGCAAAATTACAAGCACAAAATATGACAGCAATTCCAAAGAATTGCCTTTTGACAAGACGCCGACAATCCTTATCAGCGGCTTCAATAAAAGGAGGAAGAAACAGAACAGAAATGTTCCTGTCGCAGATACATAGTAGTAGTAATAATAATAATATTATTATTATTTCATTGACATCATATCCACATATTTAATTACACCTATTATTATTGGTTACTAAAATGATCTTAAATTTCCCCATCAGGGCAATGAAGCAGCAATCTGATCAAGGCGGTGATCCATTATTTCATATACAGTTTCAAGGAATGTTGTTTCACTTGTACCAGGGAGAATAGAATCCATTGCTTCATCCACGCACTCCTCGATCACGGATTTCTTCGTCAAGGTTTCTCTACACATTGCGCTGCCGATGTCGAACGGCGTCAGCCCTCTCTTTGCCCCTTTCTTCAAAAGCATCGTCGAAATGCGGAGCGTGCGGGCACATTCGAGTGGCAACTCCCATCCATGGAACTTCAGAAGGGCGATATCTTCCTCTGCGTCCAGTGAGTTTATGTAGTCTAATGTCTCTGCATCGTATGGTTGCTGGGCTTGTGGCCAATACAGCCAGTCAAATGTACAATCTTCAAACTGCAACACAAGAACAGAGAATGTTGACTTGGATTAGCTACGAAATTCGGTATGAGACTAATATCGCAGTCCGATTACTCAGCTGGTGAATTTATATGCAAAATCTACAATATGCAATGTGCAGGTAAGAGAGCAAAAGAGCAAGGGAAGCTTACACTTGTTGGCAAGCAGTATCCATGATCGATCGGAATAAGTACGGTGTGACCCCCTTCTCTTTCTTTTCCCAGCAAAATATTTCCAGCATGTCTATCTGCATTTGCCAATCTGATATCCAAAACAGAGATTTTATGGACCTCCTTAGTAGGGAAAGCCCCAGCACCAAACTCCTCACAACTACCATTGTTTTCCATGAACATCTGCAAGGAACCAATTTTAACCGATTTATCACTCGGATGGTTGAACCCATCGTGGAGGCACTTGACCAATACTGTAGGAGGCACACCAGCAAAGCCTTTCTTGTCACCGAACATCGAACGGTGGCCGGTTATTGGGTGATCTAAAATGTAAGCTGCAACTTCTCTGAATGCTCCTTCTCCAACTCTGGTCCCTTTCTTTAACCCTTCACCATCGAGTGACAACGGAAGCGCTCGAGGGTTGTTCAAGGCCATAGGCTCCTCATCAATCGGCTTAAACACGGACACGTACTTCTTTCCTGACGGGTCTAACATAAGATATGCTCCACCGGTCCCCTCCAAAGACCTAACTGGAAAATGCCCATGGTCTAAGCCATCTAATGTAGAGTTAACCATATCCCAAATCGGTATTGGTAATTCAATCTTAGGGTTAACGATGATGGGCTCCATAAAACTACCTCTTCCCTCATTAGGAGGAGGCCTTCTTGATGCAATTTCTTTGTCGTAATCGTACTCTGTCCTATAAACTTTCTCATCTGTATTATTATATTGTTTCTTATCATTTTCCCTAGAAAACTTAGATCCACATTGTTCTTTGAAATGTGATGCCACAATAGAGAGCTCAAAGGCTTTATCAACAGGTTTGCCCCGAACTTTCGCAGACTTCCGAACAAACAAATGTATGACTGCATCCTTCCTATTACAAATATCGTCTACAAGGCTATGATCATCTAGCGGCCTTCCATCACACACTACTTCGTGCTCATCGGCGTCCACAAATTCTTTTACCTTCTTCGTAATCTTTTCTTTCACATACGCAACATCCCTATCCCGCTCCACATGGAAGGTAAACTCTTTCCCACAATAAGTCTTGACATTAATGACCTGAAGATCAGAGAGCCTAAGCACCAAATGCAACACATTTCCATCAGTGACACCGTAATCTCGTACTAGCGAATTATTCCGAGACAACTCTCGACCTCCGCAAACTAACTTCTGTTTCTTCACTACAAATCCTTTGCAGGATTGGATCCTCAACTTCACAGATTCAATCGATTCCGACGCAAAGATGGGCATCGGATCAATCGAACCCGAGACAGAAAGGTATATCCAAATCGACTCGTTGGGTTCAAGACCCAATGGAGTAGGTAGGCGATTAGGGAAAAGTAATTGCTCATTGTGAACTGGGAGAAGAGCAGTAACACCCGCAGACGACATTTTCGAAAACGAGGGAAATTAAAGAGCCAAGAAATCAAGGCTTCAGTATTCAAAGAACCAATGATCAAGAAATCACATCAACACAGTCATAGCTCTAGTTATAGC